CTGAACCCATGCTGACTGGGCCTGGTCACTTAGTTGTCCTGCAAGATTGCTTGGTTGTCCTGCAACTCCATGAAACTCCTTCGCTCCAGGAAACTCTCCTGCAAGGCACTAAGGACAAGACAGCATCGAGTTTGGCTTGCTCCACCCTTATTAGTCATCTAACACTATCCCAAGACGTTTTGCACACTCAAAATTTCAGGTCCTTCTGCCACACCCAGGGACTGCAATACATACCCTCAGTTTTATGCTGTAAAACACCACTCTGTTGGACTGCAGCACAGCCCTCTCATACCCTCAGACAGTTTGAACATATAAAAAGAATACCTGTGTCCTAAGACCCCAGATTTATCACACAGCACCCAGAGCAGCGCTAGAGCCTCATCCTACGCAGTGCAGATGTGGTCGGTTGGTCAGGCTCTCAACAGCATGGGTGCCAGGCCAGAGATTGCTCCATGGCTTCCTTTTACTTTGGAATGAAAATATGTGCTAGGGTTGCAGCTGGGAGCCCATTGAACATTGCTTGTCAATCAAAATGTGAAACAATAAATGGGCAAGTTTGCATACCAGCAATTACAAACACCTTAAGATGTGTATGAAAGGCAAGTATCTGTAAATGAGTTTTAAACTTCCCTGGGATGTTAAAGTAGATTGAATTTCAGAGGTGGTAGGAAGATGAAGTAGAAGGCTGTGGCTTAGAGCTGACCATTGGAGAGTTTAGTGAGAACAGCCATGAAGAGGCAGAATAAGAAGTAGGGATGGGGGAGAGGCGTAGAGCAGCAGTTGGAATGAGACCTGGAACTGCAGAAGTTTCTTTGTTCCCACTTTCCTTCTTTTCTTTCTTCACCCTTTCTCCTATCCCTCCCTCATTTTAGTCATGTCTGGGTTTCTTTAAGATTAAGAAAGAAGGTTTTTAAGAGGTCATGCAAGAGCAGCTAGGAAAAAGGAGTGAGGCATGCAAAGTGGGAGTGAGACTGACATTTGTTTGCAAGAAGGAAAAATGTTGAAGTGGATGAGGTGGTAGAAGTGTAAGGTTGAGCACATCTTAGAGAGGGAATGAGTTAAAACAGTAAATCACTTCCAGAATAACAACTTGACAATCCCTTTTGTGCCCAGGTTCAAAGGGCTATTTTTTCCTTTTTATTTTTATGAATTGATACAAATTGGCAAGTAAAAATGTTCCAAATCTCAGTCCTAAGATGGAAGTAATAAAGTTGCTGTTACTTTTCTCAGTCCAGCAACCTGAAGGTTGCAGAGAAGTACTTCACACTATTAGTAACACTATGAATCTATTTGAAATGCACAGGACTGGACATCTTGAAGCATTTGTAGAGGTGGGGGTCAAAGCATGAGAACTCCCCATGCAGAAGATCACAACTCCTTTTTTACTCAGTATAAGACCAAGCCAACAGCTGTACAAACACCTGCAAAGTCTGATCTGATCTTAATGGAAGAGAACCTTTGGTGGTTGTGTTTTTTTTGTGCTTTGAGCCTGGCTCTTGTAGATTTCCATCAAAATGGCTCATCAGGTTTCAGTGTAAAATCTCTAACCTAAGGAGATATTTTTGTTTGTTTTCCTTTATGCCATGTGAAATGTACTAACCCGTAACATTTAAAAAACAATCATGGGACAGAGGTATTAAGGTAAGTTTCCTCTCTAAGTGCAGAATTGCTGGAAAATAGAGAGACGAGAGTGAAATTCCAATCTTACAGAGACCAGTTCTGTTTAAATATTACAAAGAGTTGCCAGGACCTAAAATTTCATATTTGTTTTAACAGCTAGGGGAAAAAGAATGTGTTAAGATTAGAGTTACATTAGTGATCTGCGTTGTTTTGTTTTGTTTTATTTTATTCAAGCTAGACCTGACCATTATTATACCATAGTGTATTTTTTGTCTTTTGCTTTTATGGTGCTAGTAAAGCAATTAAGACAGACATCTGGTCCAAACTCTGGTTTAATAAGTAGTTTGGGTTTCACATTCTTTTATAATTTTAAATAGAAAAGGCATTTTATTACACTGTTCATCAGCCTTTTATTGGACTTACATCACTACCTAAGACATCATTAAATGTTAGTAGAGTATTCTTTTGGCTTTTGGCTTGGAAGCTCAAATATAAACAGGAAACGAACCCCAGGCACTCCAGAGTTATTATAGGGCACACGTCCTGATGAAACTAAACATGTGGCAGCCTGTTTTCTAGAAAGCTCAGTACATGCAATGCAATCTTGTGGTGCACCAGAAGGTATTACTGGAAAGAGAAACGTTCCTTTTAGTATCTTACATACCCTTGAGCACTGCATGCAGTTTCCAGTGGCATGAATAAAAATCATTGTAATGTGAAAAGAAATAAGGTGACATACCCAGCTTACAAAAGAAATAACAGATCACAATTAAATTGCATTGGCAGAGCAGAATGTTGAAGGCAGTGTTATGTCTCTCCTAGTTTTTTTTTAATATTCAAAAGCAAGTTAGAATGACAGCGCACCAGGATTCATGATCTTTGTAGGACTGTGCTATCTTAAATTGTGACTTTTTTTTCTTTTTTACTTTACCAGTTCAAGGATAATTGTCTGTGTCTTACATTTTGCATCTTGCATTTCTCAAGGGTCAGTCCCGAGGCTGGCAACAGGGTTATGGGAATGATTTGAAGAGGCACATTTCTGTCCCATTTTAAAGCAAAGAAAAAAAGGGAAGGTGTTTGGCAGGCATTCAAATGAGACATGTCACACAATATGCACAATGTAACTGTTGCTGTGGTCACTGGCAGAGACAGTTCTTTTAGCAGTGAAAGCGAGGGGGAGAGACAAGAAACTCAAGGATGAAAACTGATATTTATATACAAACCAGCTGGTTTGGGGTCTTTTTTGGGTTTTCTTTTGTGGTGTTTGGGGTTGTTTTTTTTTCCTAAGTAGTCACTATTAATTATTTACAATTTTATTCCCACAGGGATAACTGGTGGGAAGTTCTTGGAAAGAGGTCGCATTAAGAAGCCTGGGCAGGAGCTCTTTAAGAGTGAGCCATCTGAATACTTCAAGGCTCAGAATCTGTTTGTTGGAGCCAAAGTTTGTTTCCATGGTCACAACTTTCTTTTGGTGGATGCTGATGAGTACACATTCAACTACATGGAGAAGCATGCAAATGAGGTAAAGCAGGCTCTTGTTATTTTCTGTTATCTTTAAGGACTGTATCTTATCTATATATTTTTCAAAATTATACCTAATTTCTTCACCAAAAGTTCACAGCCCAGTGCTCTCTGTCAAGCAATGGATTTAGGAGATCCTAGGTAGGGAGTGCATGCAAGCCTGGTCACACTTTACTGTCCATTCCACTTCTTTCTCAGCATTCACTCTTTTTGTATTAGAGGTTGTTAGAAGGTATATCCCTGCCTATTCCTTCTTGAGATTGCTTGTGGACCTCTTGTCCCTGACTTTCTCTAACCCTTCTTGAACCTGCAGATACTGTCTACTTCCACAGCTTTCTGTGGCAGCAAGTTGAAATGTTCACTGCCTGCTATGTGAAAAAAATATGTGATAAGTGTCTTTTATCCGTTTTTAACCAACCATCCACTAGTTTCAATGTCACTTCTAGTGTTCTAGGGTTTGATGAAGATCCCCATTCACCTTATGCACCACCTTCATAATTTTGTAAATCTCATTCTTCCCTCTCAGTCTAATCCTATCCAGTTCAGAGTCTCACCCTTGTTAGTCTGTCCTTGCAAGGCAACTGTGAGATGTGGTGACTGGAACAGTGCACAGGACTCAGGATGTGGGCACATGCAGTTTAGAGGCTTTTTTATTCCCTGATTTGATTTTTTGGGTTCATACACATTTGTCTGCCAAAACATTTCCCTTGTAATATTAGAAATTCATATCACAGTCAAGAATTGAAGCTTACAGTTTGTACTGAGTTTCACTATCTTTTACTGTTGCCTTCAAAGGGGAGACCAACAATAAATAAGAGAGCTGGGGTGCCTCTGCTGATGTATACTTTATGCTACCAGTCATTACACAAATGGCTGGAAAAAAGCCCTTGTTCGCCAAAGCCAAAAATGTATCCAGTAGGAGGAAATTGAGTGTCCTATAGCAATTGTCATAGAGATCAAAAAAGAAAGGGTGCAGGGATGGAAGACCACAGAAAATTAATGGAGTGTTTTATGGGATTTTATGTTGGTTTGGTAAGAAGTGTAGTTTGTTGTTTGTTTTTTTTTTGAATAATGAAGTTTGTTCCGCAGTATTTGAATAAATGTACCCTGGGATACTTGAAAATTCCTGTTACGTGCAGCTCTGACAGAGTCACTCTGAGATGCATCTTAAGAATACATCTGTTCGGAAGCCAAGGCATTTCTGTGTTCTAGTCCCTCTTCTGGATTGTGGCTTCATCACAGGGTGATCTTGAACATAAGCCTTTTGACTAGACTGTGCTGTGAGGACTTTGGGGTAGTGCATATGCTTCAGAGCTCATGATGAGGCAGCAGCACGAGGGTTTATCAAACTATGGTCCTCTGTCCATTTGTCCAGCCCTTTTGTGGATGGAGAAGGGAGAAGGTTCTTATTTCAAGTTTTAGTTGTTCCCTGGCTGCTGGCTCACCAAAGTGAGTGAACCTGCAGGACTCCCAAGATGCCAGTGGGCCTAGCGCAGTCTTGGGGCCTGTGAGTCTTGGTGCCATGATGCTGCTGAGGCAGAGGTAGATGCAACCTGACCCTCCTGCTGCTGTTGGGCCACACGTGCTGTTCTCACTCAAATGAAAATAGCAGAAGGGCATGAATTCTTTGTAAATTAGCATGGAGTTAGCACCACCTGCCTTCCTTGGAATAATGAGGAAGGTCTGCAAAATCCTTGTTCATGTAAAATGCTACAACTGCTAAATGCTTTAAGCAGTAAAATACAAAGCTATATACATTATGTTTTCTTACTGCTGGACTGTTTCTCCTCCTAGCAGAATCAAACCCAAAGCTGTTCACCAAAATGTGGAGCGCATTAGATTGTAAATGTTCTTTGGAACTGCTGTTTGATTGAGTATCTTGGATTGAACAGATGAGATCGTAGTTTTCCAGGCTGAATGATTGTATGTTATCAAAATAAAATCTGAAAAATGGGAAGAAGCAACACTGAAAATACTTCTTTAAAGTGAATTTTGAAACGTTCTTTGCACAGTTAAGGTTTTAAAACAGCTGGTAGAAAAAATTAGAAAGTAGTAAATATTTTCCCAGTGATAGATGCTTTATTCGTATCCCTTGAATAGAGCTCTGGAAATAAGGACACACCTTATTTGCCTCAGTTCATCAGGGGATTGCATACTCAAATCACAAGAACTTCAGCAATTATTAGAGAACAGCAGAGCTGGAAGATGGTTTGAAGAAGGGGAAACAATTTTAAGATGACAATTCGTCAGTTATTTCTAAAATTAGAAAATAGAGAATTTTCCTTCTGAATAGACAGAGGTTTTCTTTCAGCGGGATGCATGAGTACATATTCTGAAAACTGGTGAAAAAAATCTGATGGAATGCTTTTCTTCTGGAAAATACTGTTTTGACCACATTTCTATAGGCATATCTTAGATGAAATTTTGATTGAGTAAACATAGTGCAGGTGGGAATTGATTTTGCTATCACTGAAACATTTGTTAGACACCATATGAGGTATTTGGAAAGTTTTAATTTTCTGTTTCAAGAGTGTATTTATTGTATTGTTTTTAAGTGATGGGGAGAGGAAAATCATTGTCCTGTCATTTTGATTGCCACCTGTACTGAGAGTATCTTTAAGGATCTAATTCTCAAGACTTTTCAACACTTTTAGTTTCTTTTACAATTTGAAGAAAAAGGATGCATTTGGAAAGCATAAATTCACTTGCAAAGCAGAACATATGTGTCATGCACAGTCCTACCAGTATTATCCAGGTCTGAGGAGGACTCTTTCAAATAATGCATCCCTGTGCCTCCTTGGAAATTAATTTATCATCTCTGTAACCGTCTCAATTCTTCAAGCTTTGTAGGCTTCTGCAGCACAAAGATGGAGGTTGGTTTTACTTCCATTGAATTCAACATAATAACCTCTGACTTAAGCAAGACCATTAAACCAAACTGGATTGTCACTACTGGGATGTCAGCATTTATGTGAGAAGGAGGAAAGTGGGTAAAGATTTATTGCCATGCTGCTTGGATACTCCTATGTAGGTGTTTGGAATACGTAGTTTACAAAAACATGTAAAAATAACTGCTTTGAAAATGTAGAGAAGGCAGGTTTTTAAACAGACAGAACACTTTGTCCCTCTCTAAATACTCTGCTGATTGATTCCTGCT